CCTAGTCCCTCACTAGGTTGGGCAGCTCACTTGGGGGGCACAGGAAGGAAGGCAGGAGGGGTCTAAGCCCCCTACTCGCCCTAAGCAGGTTCTAGTCCACCTTGCCCTCACCCCGGAGTCTACTGCAGTGACGGAGATGCAAAGCCACCTTTATCCGGGGAGGCCCAGGGGCCTGGGTTTCCTGTGGCAGCCACTCAAGGTGGGCTGGAGCCACTCCTCATCCCCATCTGCTTCCACTCTTGGCCTGTTTCCCTTTCCCTTACATGGGGCGCTAATAACAAGGAGCTAGCCTTGCGGCACTCCCACCCTTCTGCTCCTCCTCACCCCCCAAGGTTCTGGTTTCATCTTTCCTCTGGTCACAAACTACCTCTGTACAGTTGTGCTGTTTTTTGTTCAACGTTTTATTCTTAGACATCCGTCATTGCTGCTGCTACCAGTGCTAAATGTTCATCCTCATTGCCTCCTGTTCTGCCCACATTCCCCTCCTCCAAGATGCGCTTGGAGGAAGGGGCCTGGGGCAAAGCAGGCTGGGTTACTGACTACCCAAGTCCCAGGGAAGGTGCGGCCCTGCCCCTAGTATGCTGCAGCAGAGAAAGGAAGGGGGACTGTTTTGACCGGCAGGTGTAGGGGCCACCTTCTCCACCTGTTCTGTCAGGGAGGAGGTAGCCATTATCTGTCCTAGCCTGGGTCCCCCTTCTGGTTTCCTATTTGCAGTTACTTGAATAAAAATAATCCTTTTCTGGAAAAAAATATTTTATTTAAATTTATATATGATATATAATTTAATTTTAAAACACTTATATATAAATATTTTAATAGTTACTTCCTATTTATATCTTTACATAAAGTATGTTTATACATGTACTTTGTATTTAAAGTGCATTATTATGTTGTACAATTTTAAAGTTATAGATAGGTTATATTTTCTATGAAGTTCATATCAAGGTGCATTGACGGAGCATTACAAACTTTCTTTCCAGAGCATTGTGTTTTAATAACATTTTAAAAAGGTGAATGAATGTTTACTACTTCACTGTGGAAAACGGGAAGAAATTAGCTTAATTGCCACAGGAAGGACTTAGTGTAGGCATGAGGAAAAGCAGATTAGGGGCAGCCATGAACACAAAGAAATTCCCAATTAACTTTGTTATCTGACTACCTTCACATAAATCATTAAAGACACCACAAAGACATGGTTTCATGGGTTATTTTGGAATCAAGAATCAATTAGTGGAGATTCCTTGATATTGACAATTTTTATATTTTACAAATGCACTTCCAGTCTGGTTTTGGCAAATATGTAGATCTGAAAGAAATATGGTCATCTCCTTGAATTCTATCACTTTCACAAGCGGAGTCTGAGAGCCCAGCAGACTGAGCTGATAAAGGTCGCACAGCCAGTTAACCGTGTGCTCAGGACTGGCATCCAGTTCTCCTGATGCTATTTCAGTGCTCTTTCGGCCATGTGATATTATTACCACACTTGTCTTCTCTTTCACTGCTGTTCTCCTAAGTCTTTTATTCATTCAGTTACATCCTCTACATTAAATCCAAATTCAACCCAAATACTTTCCCTTTTCAAGCTTTCTTGCTCAGCATCAGTGGTCCCCGGTCGCTCAGAACCTAATCTCACTGGGTAAGGGCTGTATGTCCTCCAATATTTCACTTGATGGAATAGATCTTCAATATATTTAATAACAAGATTCATGATATTTGATTATAGTCATGAGGTGTTGTAGATGTAAATTATGACTTTAACCATTGAAACCATAATTTTTAGAAATGGGAAGAGTGGTATGGGAAAAATATTCTCACCACTGGTGAAAAATCACGTTTTCACAGGGTTTGCAAACAGGGAAATATCTGTGGTCTTGCTTCATATGTTTTACTTTATCTGGCAAAAGCAAAAGGCAGTTTTCTTTGCAATAAAAATGGCCTTTCGTTTTCGCCAATGCTTCACATCCATTTTTGCCAAGCAACAAGCTGTTTTCCCAGGAGAAAACAGCTCAAGCTGAAATAAAAGTGAAGCACAATTTATAAAATTTCCTTCTTTGAAAACAAAAATCATTCCACTCAATGCAAATACCACCTAAGGGGCCCTGCACAGAGAAAATTTTAGTTTGGAAAAAGTCAGAAGTTTCAGGCAGCCATGCCAATTGCAAATAGATGGTATAACAATGGTCACCTTTACTGGCCATTTATTTTTATGAACAGCAATATTTAATGAGTTATTCCTTGAGACTTGGCCTTTGGGGAAAATTTTTTATTGAATGTTTTCAAACAAAAGCTGTAATTCAATTGCAAAATAACCCTGGGCATGTTGTGTGATTCAACACTCATTCGAGTAGTATATTTGATTAAGTGAGGCTTCAGAAAGCAAGCAACTAAGAAAAGAGGAATGGGCAAGGGTGGAAGCAGTGTGACAGACGGCAGAACAGTAACACTCAATTAGTGCATTAGTGCACTTCAGAAGCCCCTCGGGCACCACTCGGAAGCCTTGGGCTTCCTGTCTCCTTGTGCGTCTTGAGAGGCTGGGGGCTCCCTAGAGTCTACATCAGTCAGGTGATGGCAGGACATCTGGAGCATGTCTGCTGATTCCGAGTCGCCCTTCACTGACAAGAGGAGAGGAGACCGGGCCAGCTCCAGCCACACGGCTCTAACATGAGTACACTGCTTGCCCTCCTGCATGCACTGTGGAAAGGCCTTCAGTTCAGCAAGGGCAGGATGGTGCCTGTCACCCTTCCCTCTCCAAAGTGATGTTAAGAAGCTGACATTTATCAAAGTGAACAGACACCTGCTGCCAGTAAAGCATACCCTGAATAAGGGCACATAGAAGAGCATCTGGAGAGTTTGTGATGAGAACCAGGGGCTCTTGAGACTGAGTGCCTCCAAATGCAAGCTTTCCCTCACACTGTGCGTGACATTTTATTACAACCAGCTATATCCCTGCAAGAAGGGAAGTCTGTGTCCATGATCTTACTTTGCGGAGATAGAGGAAACGAATGCAGGCTTCTTCTTGAGATATATTCTAGAGTCTCAGCCTTTTGTTTCTCATATACAGCAGTTCATTTATATTCCACTGGGCTTCTGCACATAAAATTCATCTCTGTGTGGGTGGAAGTAGCCCCAACTTACTTCTGTGCTGTTCACAGAGTTATTTTCATTATTGGTACATGATGTGCTATCTCTGTAACTCACAGTACTTAGAGGAACAAGTGTTGGACTCTGAAGGGGTAAAATCCAGTTTAATTGCCTTAACTCTCCTGCTGCCAGCAGGGTAAACATTGCTCTTCATCGCTTCTCATCAAATCCCTCTACCACCAAACATAGGTCTCTGTCTTCAATAATAAAACTAGTGTGAACTTCCTTGACCTAGAATTCAAGCTGTGCTCAATGCTCTCCATTTCTATCACATATACAGAAAAAGTAAACTAATTTGATGAGTTCCATAGCCTCTGCTGAGAAACTCACTCAGGCATCATGGAAGATCTGAAACGTAACTGCAACAGTCTACAAGTAAGGATTTGGTCTCGTTTCCAGAGAGACAGCTAATGCCTACTGAGTGCCTTCCATGTGCTAGACATTTTCACTGGTTTTAATTCATTCATAAGGTTCACAATAGCTCTGGAAAGTGAGTAATATTACTAAACTCCTCTTGTGGATGAGAAAACAGAGGCCTAGAGAGGTTAAGTAATTTGCCAGCCGTCATGCAGCTAAAAAGTGGAAGAGCCTGGATTTAAATTCAGGACTGCCTCTGCCAGGGTCCAAGTCCTTTCCACTCTGCTATGCTGCCTCTCCCGGTTGGTGCAGGCCCTGGGGGACAAGTGCCACATCAAGCATCATTTGGAGTGCAGCAAAGGAGAAAGTCGAGTGGGCCCTGGTCAGAAAGTCATAAATGCTCTCCATTCTTCCCTACCCGTAACGTGGTGGCACTTGCAGAAGGAAGCGGGCCTCCTGCCCATCAAACCCTTTTGGGGGGGGGCTGAGTACAGCTGGGTCACTACACATTCTTTCTCTCATGTTTCTCAGGTATTATAAAGTACCACTAGCCTTCAGTTAGTTGTTAATGTCTGACTCTGGCTTTCCTGCTTACTGGGATATGAGGAGATACC